ATAAATATTCTACAAATATAATAACAAATATAATTTAAAAGCGGAATAGTAAGCAAAAATTTAGAAGATAACTTTACATAAATATATATGTATACATATAGTATTTCATCGAATCTTATAAAGGCGAGAGAATGAAGACAGAACGAAGTCATTGCAGTGGAACATTTCAATGTACTCGTGGTAAATCCTCGGCAAATTGAACTGTCCTTCTATCGCGGAGCAACCATAAAATATCTCATAGAGAGTAGACTACCCCTCGTCTCTCATTGCATTAAAGTGATCCCATGGATAAACAGCCAAGCTACTCTGAGACTTCGCTTTCAAATTATATTTTAGCATTTTTAAGAAGGGCTGCAAACTGCAAACGAGATTTCTTAAGACGGCATAGAATTGTGTTTCTATTTTCTTTGTTTCTTTTTCACACAATATATATTGTTCAAAAACATCAAATATTATTATCTTAAATTACAAGTAACTTCCTTGAAAGAAATATTGATTAAAAATTGGTTTCATAAACATGCTACTGTTATTCCTTGATGTAATAAAGCTAATTTCTTATCAAATAATAATTTTGTTAAATCTTTGATAAAACAATAAAGATATTTAAACGAAAGCATTTGATGACAATTTTAAAAAGTAGATCTGTCCGGCAATACTTTTTTCGAAAAAGATCTCTCTCTTCAACCAATGAGAACATTCCTTTTCAATGATCGTAAAGATCGTGCTAAATAAAAGTCGAATAAAGAAAGAAGGGCGAAAACTTATAGTGAATCGCCTTGAGCCTATGGTTAGACAAGGGAAATCCCCGGTTTCCAACAGTCAGATCCAGCTAATCCAGCTCCATCAATCTAATGTCCAAAGACCTTCGCCTTCTTCCCGAGGTTTATAATACTTTTCGAGATACAAACAAGTTTCGAGCTATCGCAAGATTTAATTACGTTAAAATAATTATCGTTTAATTGTTATCTGCTTCATCTTTTAATTATTTCTGTTAAAAACAATAGGCTATTAATACTTTAATAATCCTCGTGTATAATAATATTTCTATTTAGATAAACAGTTAAATACAAAAGCGATATTAGTTTACGTATATGTATCCTAATTCTAATTTTTATGAAACACAGTTATCTCGCAGATTTTGCCAAGTATATTGCTTAGTTCGGACTCAATATATCTATCGTGCGTATAGTCATTCGGCACCAGATGTGTCTAGACCCTCGCATCTCGACTTTAATCAACGCGTCTTCTGGGGATTGTTACACGCGGCAATTAGTCACGCCGATTTATAAACCGGATTACGACCTTAATTTATAGTAATACTGCAGATTTCGCGTTACGATGCGTTGTCTAACGAAATTTTTGTAAATGCTTATATATCGTTTGCAAAAATCGTAATAAAAATCATTCGAGATAAAGATCCATTAAAATATCTAAAATTCTACGAGCGGCACGCGCATGTCGTTATCGCCCGCTAACACTTCCCAAACGGCGAAGATGACAAACCCTTCCGCATCCCTGCGGCGTGTAATCTGTCCTCAACCACTCGGAGTCTACCAACCTCTTTGGAATAATTCTAAATCCTCTATTATTATGCACCCTTCCGACCCACAAGCCTCGCGAAATCAGGACAATATTGTGACGCTTGGATTTTGCCCTCGAAAAGCTAAGTCAACGCTCACGTAATGTAAAATATACTTATAATATAATTTGTTCTTCTTGAATTTTATATATCACAACTGGATGATGCTGATAATATCGTTATATAAGTTACACGGAATTATGAATAATCAAAGCAGCGTTCATGCAGCACATAATCATCAATTATGTCAAAAAAACAAAATATTTATCTTTGTATTAAATTCTCTCGAATACATGCAATATTCAAATAAAAACTGATTAACTAAAAATCCTCATAAGCACTTACCCGAATACTTCAAGTTGCAATGCTCCTTGGAGAGCGAATAGGTGTTTTCGGAACTCATTAGTCTCGTGGGTGAATGCGTTCGTGCGAAATTCTGAAATCCAAAATAACGAGAATTTTTCTTCTTAAGTTGTCTGTATTTATATAACATTTGCATTAGTGAATTGACCTTTATAGCAAATTGACCCTTTTAGCAAATATCAAAATCGAATGTTTTATCGAAGAGCTTTTATTAATCAACGAAAATTTAATTTGCTCACAGAAAAATGTATAGCCGTATTAAATAACATTATAAGTCAATCAATTGTCGCTTGCTGGAAATTAAGAAACTAACACAATTAACCTAAAAATCATTAAATGTAATTATATTAAAATCACTGACGAAGATTTCGTCGACAATGTTTTCACCAACACTATCTTCGTAGATACCGAATTAGATCAACTACATATATTAATCGATATAACCATTCACCAATATATAAATTCATCAATTTCTATGTGTCATTCTATTGAAAATTTAAGTTTATTATTATTTGAAAGTAAAATATCCAGAAAACGGGAACCATTTTCTTATAACAACGATAAATTCATTGCTTACCTGACAAAATATAAAATAAGGATATAATTAGCAAGTTTTACCATAGTATTTATATTTAAAAAAAATTTAACTATTATACTAAATTTATATTAATCTAATGAAAATATTTAATGAAAACATTGTCGAGATGCCAATCTCACTAAACGAACAGATGTGATGAATGAAGTGCAATGTGGATGCCTTACATATAAGTATTCCTTGATCGCTGTGATTTTAGTGCCGATCATTTGCACATTGTCCATGTCTCTGCTTGTGTCCCTCGCCTCAACAGTCCCTACAACAATCAACAACAGGTTCCGCTTCAGTCACGACGTACTGCGGCGTCGAGTCTTTGGCGAGTTTTAGCGAGATTGCGAAATTGTTAAGCGATATTGCTATCGACTTGGCAGCGCGATAGGCTGAGCGACTGAAGAAACATGGACAGAGAGCAGTTTTTGTCGTCTTTCTTAAATTAATTTCTAAAACACAGAGCATTCTCATGTCTACATTAAAAAATTGCGAGTTTTTAGTTATTGCAAAACTAAATTCTTTAGGTGCTTAATTATTTGACAATTATTGCGAATAAAGACTGATAAGCTCGTAAGTATAATAGAATCGCGAATACTATGATTGAAAAAACGAAATACACGCACATACATACACATACAGTTAGTAAAAGTTAATTAGTTTTAAAGTTGTTATTATCTCAAAGATAAGAATATATAACCGTAAAATAAACAAATTTTTTTACAGTTTATCGAACTATCGATCGCACTTTGTATTTTAAGTAACCAAACAGTCTTCATGATTTTCTTGAACAATCGCATCACTTTGCTCTCTGAGTCAATAGCGGTCCTAGGATATAAGAAGCTGGAGAAAATTTGAAAGACATCCACCGATTATACAATAATAAAACATGCAGTACAAGAAAATACAGAAGAGAGATAGAGTGATTATGAGAACAGTGCATGATTAATGAATGTATTCGAAGAAAATATATATTACATTAAAATTAAAGTGTTGAATGCTGTCATCATCCGCTTTATCAAATCAATGCGTCGAAGTTCTCTTTTTATTTTGGAGTGGAGAAACTCACATGTGTAATCTATTTTGGGGGAAATAATCTATTAAAAGAAAATTTAGAAACAGAGATAGGCAACTGTCACAAAAAAAATATTGATTCAATAATTTTTGAAAAATTAATTCAAGATATTGTTAACTAATAGCATTTTATTTTGCGCTCTATTTTTCTCGTATATATTTCTCTTAAATATTTACGAGTTAAATAGTTTTTAACTTAAATTATATTTAGTAAAAATCTATTCTTTTCGATAATTTTAACAGCAGATTTTAGTTTTCGCTTTCTGGAATTTGAAGAAACTTTTATAAATCTATAAATAAACGATTTTTTTCAACCGTTATTTTTTGAATAAACGATATATCCTTATATTAAAAAAAAAGATTTTTATTACACCAAATAACAGATATACAAAACAAATGAATTATAAAATATAATACCATAAATTATATATTAATTATAATAAAAATTAAATAAAACTATTAGCTAAAACTATTAATTATTTAGTAAAAATGAATAGATTGATTATCGCATGCCAAAAGAAAGATAAAAATTATAAAATCGACATTAAACATTGAAAGTTTCAACTATGATTATTTTGCTTCTATATAAATCACACCGTAATATTCTATCAATGTAGCAAAACTGTAAATTGTTTTACATGTATAAAAATTTATTAACTTACCAACACTTATATATTTTGTAATTTCAATATAATCCCTTTAAAAGTATTTACTCTTCAAACCCTTTCCAAAAATTCACATCTTTTAATTCCGATTTACGGTAACGATTTTTTGAAATATATAGAATATAAATTAACAAGTTTTAAAGATAATTCTATGATAACATAGAATGACATATTACATCAGAAATTAATTTCAAATTGAAGAGAAGTAATCTACTTGCTGATTAATACAACCTTCATCTTGTACTTACCTAATCCCGCTTGTTTCTTCACCGGATTTTCTTCGTGGCCGGGTGGCTCGATTTGCGGTCTCAACAAGGCCTAGGTTTCGTTTCGGAACGAGCGTAGGCTTTAAGGGTGGAATGCCGCCGAAGTGGCGCAGCAACGACGG